TGGAATGTCTTTAAAAGGATTATGTGTTTTGGATTATGTGTTTACCTGAAAGTACTATGGCTATTGAATGTTCTCTTACCTACTTGTACATTAGAAATGATTATGGGGTATGTGGATAACAGAGAGTGTGTAAATCCGCCTTCAGCCAATACTTGATTGGATAAGTTAAAAGGGGATGATGAAGGTCACCATGTCCTCCAGCTGCTCCAAGTACTCCTTCAGCAAGGCCAGGCTGCCTGTGCCAACCCTGAACTCGTATTTCCAGAACTGGGGAATGCCCCCCCTGAAGACACAGGGAAATCTCACAGGCCCCCAAACTCTCACTAGGGCCCCACAATCCATTTTTAAAAAGACTGAGGAGAAGGGAAGACGACACCTAGTGCAGATTCAGGCACTGACACTGAGGTTGGGGACTTAGTTTTGAGCAGGGAGCCTTGCTGGTATCCTTCAAACCTACCAGGTTGGAGACCATCAAATCAGCATATATGGTGTAGCTCTGACCCACATCCCATCATATTTCCCCTAACCTCAACCTGAGACCAGCCAAACCATCAAGAGAAACCAATGGTGCCCTCTGTGCCATCCAGGCAGGGCTGGTGGACTGAAAGGGACAAAGGGCAGGTGCTGGGAGGAATCTCAGTGATGTCAGTGGGCAGGGCCTTTCCTGCCATAGAGAGATGTTTCTGTGGGGTGGGCTGGGAAGGCTCTTTGGTTACAAATCGATTCTTCATGAACTCTGAAGTCAGTTACTGAGCCATGCCAGACCCGTGCTGGGTGATGGAGTACAGTGACAGAGAGGATGGTATCTAGCCCTTACGGAGCTTGCAAGCCTACGTTGGTAGGCGAGACTGCCTTGAAGATAGATACTTGCAATACAGAGCAGTAGGTCTTAACAGCCTAAGTAGAGCAGTGCACAGAGAAGTTTGTTCTCCTTCACAAAGGAGGAGATGCTGGGTCTGGGTCTTGAAGGATGAATAGGAGTTTGTTGGATAGACAAGAAGGAAAGCACATCCTAGCCAGAGGGAACAGGATGCAGAAAGCTGGAGCCATCAAACACTCTGGGACATTGGAGGGTCTTCTTGAGGTGGTCTCCAAGTTGGCAGTGATGGGACACACTAGGGGAAAATCTAAAGGACCCAGCCTTGGGCCCAGGTAATCTCTGAAGGACCTTCCCTTACCTGGAGTCCACTAATGGATAAAGACAGAATGTTCTTGGGGAGCTTTGTGTCCGGGGAAAGCACTGGGGATGACTGGAGTGTTGGGGAGAATCTGAGCTGGGGCCAGGCCACATGGGTCTTGTTATCTGGCTAAGGTGCAGCCATGGGGAGGGACTGAACAAATTTTAACTATGGAAGTGATGCAATCAGATTTAAGGTTAGAAGAAGTCACTCTGAACAGAGAGTAGAAGTGTGTGTGTGTAGGGGAACGAGCCTGGGGTGAAGACACCAGTTAAGACATCATAGTCTGAAGAGAGAAGATGTCTGCCTCAGCTAGGATGTGGGGAGAGACGTAGACCCCCTGGAGAGCTATTAGGAAGTGGAGTCAGTAGGACCATGGTTATGGATTGACTTAATCTGTACTTGGGAATGTGACCTTGTTTAGGAATAGTTTTTCTTCCATTGTTGTTACATTAAATGAGGTCAGACTGGAGTGGGGAGTAGGGTGGGTCCTAATCTGATCTCTTCCGAATGGTATTTTTACAGGGGGATAGCAGACATGGAAACAGTCACTCCCAGGGCAAGACACCACATGAAGGACAGCTACTAGCAGCAGAAAATGCCAAAGATGGCCAGCAGCCACCAGAAGCCACGAGGGAGGCGTGGGACAGGACCCTCAGGAGGAACTGACATGGCCAGCACCCCGACTTGAACTTCCAGCCTCCAGAACTGTGAGTCAGAACGTGCCTGCTCTTTGAATACTGTGTGATATTTTCTTACTGCCCCTAGGAAATGAAGACAATGTTTATTCAATACATTATTATGTTCCGTGTCCTGGGGAACAAACACCACAATAATAATGTCTGTCTCCGGGAGTGGGGACTACAAGTGTTTTTCTTGCCTTCCTAATCCTGTGACAGCAGAGGTCTGGCTTGAGTGATTGAGTGCAGGGATGGCAGTGCCAATGAACTCCTCAAAGCTGGAGTTTCTCACTGGTGCCAAAGATTTTACCCAGGACAGGGGCAGGGTAGGGGCTGGGTGCAAGTGGGAATTGTGGGAGGGCAGCTCTTTCCTGAGCAACAATCATGGGTGAGGCCCATGCCAGGCAGCGTGGGGTCCCCGGGGTTAGACTGAAGGGTGCCTGATGACAGAGACACCCAGCTGCAGCACCTTCCCCGTCCCTCTCCCAGCCTTACCCTCCAACACCCAGGCTTTTTACCTGGTGCTTGAGATGGTGCCTGGGGAAGGTAGTATCCACTTGCTTGGCTCACTTTGGCCCAGCAGGGCCAGGGGACCACTGTTGGCCTGGCAGAATCTGTCAAAAGCCAAGGCCAGGGACCTGAGCAAGACCACCACATGGGCTGGCTAGGATCCTGGGTTTGGTGAGACAAGGGACAAGGGCACAGTCAGTGCCCCCTTGGCAGACTTTTTATTGTATTAGTGTGATACAGAAAGTACTCAAGTCATGGGTGTACAGCTTGATACTCGCAGAATGAACACACCCGCAGAGCCAGCACCCACATTGAAAACAACGCCATCAGCGTCCCAGCAAGGTGCGCCTTCCAGGCATCGCTGCTCCCCTCACGGGAACCACTCCCCTGCTTCTAACACCGCAGACAACTCTGGCCTGTCCTTGGACTCCAGATAATGGTCTCATGCACAGTGCTTGCAACGAAGGGCTCAGGTATAGCAAGGATCGTGAGGCTGGTGTTGGACTTGGCAGTGTTTCATTCTGCTGTGCATAGGGTCGCTATGAGTCAGAGATGACTCAACAACACCTAACAACAACAACAACACACTCTGTGTCTTTAAAGCCTTGCTTCCTTCACTCAGCAATGTGTTGTGAGATTCGTCTGTGCTGTAGTGTTTAATAATAGCTGATCCTTGATGGATGAGTGTCTCATCATGCATCTACCCAGTCTGTTACTGACGGACATTGGAGAACTCTCCAATTTGTGTGCTGCCGCACATTTTCGTACCTGCGTTTTGGGAGTACATACGTATGCATTCTTTTGGGCATATACCTAGGGTCCTAAGGTATGTAGATAAAACACATGCTCAGCTTTAGTGAACACTGCCTGAGGTTTTCCAAAGTGGTTGTACCTACACTCTCACCAGCAGGTGTGAGTGTCTGGGTTGCTTCCTATCCTCTCTGACACTGGTATTGTCTCTTTTTCATGTTAGCCATTCCGGCAGGTGGGACAGTATCACACTGTGCTTTTCATTTACATTACGCTGATGACCAGTGCAGGTGAGCATCTTCCCACAGATTATATTGGCCATTTGAAGACTGTCTTTGAGGGAAAGACTGTTTGAGTCTCTTGTCTGGGCAGACTCTTACCTGATCATGATTGCACAGTCCTCTACTATCCCTCCAAAGGGATAGTTTTAACAGAGCTACTGGTGCAATGGTTAAAGCACTTGGCTGCTAACCAGAAAGTTGATGGTTCAAACCCACCAGCCACTCTACAGGAGAAAAGACCTGGAGAACTGCTTCCATAAAGATCAGCCACTGCCATCAAGGCCATTCCGACTCCCAGCACCCCTAGGGTACAGAGTGGAACTGCCCCATAGGGTTTCCAAGGCTATAATCTTCATGGAAGCAAAGCCCAAACCAAACTCACTGCTATCAAGTCAATGCCAAATTATAGTGCTCCC